GTCTTGAGATTTTTCTCTTAGTATATTTATGTGTTTATTGGGAAATGCGACTATTAAAAAAATTTTTAAAGGCTTTGTTCAAACATAATCCCGCATTCAATGAAAGAAAAACTGTAGTGCTGGTTACATTTGAACCGTGAAGTCCTTAAGCTACGTTTTTTTCAAATTTCTGGAGACGTACCCGAGAATGACTTATGAATAAATCCGCGCAGTAATTTTATCAAAATATTATCCGAGGGATAAGTACTTGGGAAGACATTAAAAATGAGTTAGACGGGCTCCCAAGATTTAAATAGCGAGTATCGATTACCCCGTCATTTTCCAGGGAATAGGGCGGCTTTCCCCCGCATTAAACGACGGCATAAGCTCGCGATAACAGCATCAGGTCCCTTTTAATCAGTTTGTAATCATCAGTTTAACCTGCGTGACGAGCCTCTTATATAACTTCACTCTTCCGCGTATTAGGCACTATTCCGAACCCTCCTCGTCTCGCTGCTGCTATTTTCGTAGTAGGCTGCCAAAACAGCCTTCCTTCGCTGCTCGACAACAAAAACTAATGTTTACTCGCAGGAGAGCACGTCATTTTCGAAAACTTCGGTAACAGATCGACTTAATTTTTCAGATGAATTTGGTGCCCTTCTCATATGCACTTTTCTCTACAGATATAACCAATTTTCATTTGAAATTATGTAAATATTGTCGGTCGATAATACAGTTAGCTGCAAAAGGCGGTAAATTTGAATTCAAACTTAGACATTCAAATCCTTTTTTATTTTTATTTAAGAGATAACGAAAATATGGCAGCAACGATTCAGAAGTGAGGCAAAAAAATATACGCAACATTTTTCTTACGTTCGGTTGGGAATTTTATTAAAAAAAGAAACCCCGGGTGCCTTTGGGGCCTCCGTAACGTAATTAAAAGCCGTTATCAGCGTAGCTTCGCCCAATGCCGTGTATTTTGGGGTAGATGATGCGCTGGGGGACGCCGTTCGGTGCCGTTTTAAAGTTGATTTCTCTCGCTTGACTGGCTGGGAGATGCTCCAATCAATGCGGTTCGTCCTCTGTTCCGCTGTACACGAATATATACCCCTAGAAATACCCGCGCCACCCATTGAATAACTTTATCTATCCATTAGAATCCGTTTAACGTGTTCGGACCGATATATACGGGAGATAATGGAATATTCAGAATTAAAAAACTGATTTATCTAAGTCTGTCGATGTGGGTTGTAGAAAGAAAACTATGATGCTAATAGCATAAGACCACTATACCGACCATCAGTGTTATAAGTCTTTCCGAAGTCAGTTGAAGATGTATAAAAACGCCTAGCAATAAAATTTAGGCGTCCCTAAAAAAGTTTTCTGCTAAAGGTAAAACATTGTAATAATTTGTAGAAAATTTCTGTTATATGTTCATTTGGGCTCCAACATATTTTTTCTTTGTATAAATTATAAAATGTCCGCCGAATTATGCCTGTCGTCGATATTTTTAAATTTTTGTTATCGCTTCCTCTTAACGCAATGGTATACATATAACACCTTGTTTAATAACATGAAAAATTGTGGACACTGAAGCTTTAGTTAATATGTGAATTCTATTTTCATTATCTGATTTTTCATTTTCTTCCTTTTTTAAACAATCGTAAATATTTAAAATGAGACGCCGAGATTGAACATATAAATCTTTATTTTTAAATCTGTTTCATCAACAACCGGTTCTACTAATTCAATATTATCTGGCGGTATTTCGTTTTGTTCCGCTTCAAAAGGTCTCCAAAATGCCATGTTGTAATAATGTTAGTAAACAAAATATCTCTCTTATTTCTCCCTTTCGCAATTGTAATATGAATAATTAATATAAGGTGCCTATAATAAATTTAAATTATCTGAATCGCACCAAATTCCGCATTGCTGCACTGCACTGCTAGGCAATCTGTCAACAACTGAAATTTATGGCCGGTCGCCCAGCACGGTTGTGTGTGTGCGGCTTTTGCCCGCGCGCCTATTCTTCAACTGAGCGACCAGACCTGTATATGGGTATGGCTAAATGAATATGGGAACAACTTTTTCATATTTCAATGCCAAGTTGTTGCGTAGCGACCGAAGTTGGTAGCTCTTTGGTCTTAAATTGAAATCGGAAAGACATATAAAAACACGAAAATATGTAATCATTACCAAAAGTTAATTAGTAGTTTCTTGAAAAGAATTTTAATTCTTCCATTGTGGAATACGTACAAGCTTTTTTCTGCCACAGTTAGTAGTATATAGAAATATGCAGATGTGAATTGCCGAAGTTTCATTGTATTGTAATATTTTTTAACAGAATTTTACTTGTATGGGGGATATGTGCCATTTTATATATGTCATATTCTGTTAACACAATTACATACTTCGATATACCATCATCGCTAGAAACAGTAAAAGATTCACAAAAGTGAAATCATTACTGGAACTTAATTGGTTTCCATAGGGGAATATGGACCATTTATTTCCGTATAGGCTTCCTTGATCAACATTTTTGTTGTATAGGGAAATATGGGCCATTTTTATCTTTGTCCTTCCCTTACAGAATCATCTAATTGAAGCGTTAAAAGACATATCTAATGATTGTTAAAATTTGACCGTTGTAAACTTAACAAAATTTTAACTGCATAGGGTAAAATGAACTATTTTATCTATCTTATTCAATTATGCAAATACTTGTATACACTATCAGAAGTATTAAAATGTATGATAATAAGTAATAATTGCAAAAATCTGAATATTGTACAGAGTTTGGATCCATAGAGAGGAATATAGACAATTTTATCTCCCTATTTTAGCCTTCTTGAACCCAAATGTTTGAGTACTGTAACTTTCTTCAAACCATCTTCAACGGTATGGGGTAATACGGATCATGTCTCTCATTATGCACTTTTACCATAATCTTTACTTCCAAGTAAATATGACACAATGGGGCAATATGGCACAAGCTGTATCATATTACCACCAAATTATTTCATGTCACCAAATGTGCTTACCTTGACTTAGGTACGCTCATAAGAACTGCAAATAGCTCGAATAGTAACTGTTCATTAATAAACTTTGTATGTTGCCATACTCTCTATGTCGGTCATTACCCCAACGCTTAAATAGTATGGTCGTTTGACTCAATAGTATAGTCTCGTTACAATTTTTATAGACTTGGTAGAATTAATATATATTATATGCACATAAATGTTTATAGCAACCTATTGTGCCTTGTTCCCCGTCGACGGACATAGACCATTTGAGAAAATTGCCATATTACTCCAGTTTACCCCATATATTTTTTATAGAATAGAAAGTGTTACCAAAGGTCGTTATAAATGAAAAAATCTTACTTTACGTTACTCTAACTTCAAGGTGTATTTCAAGTCAGACAGCTCTAATTTATTAAATATTTTAGACATTATTCCCTTAATAGTACAATTAAAAAGGTAAATTAGAGTTCACTCATGCAAAATAAACCATCCTCAGTTGTGTTTTGTACGTCAAAAATTGAAATCCTCTTGTTGGGCAAAACAGCTGTTGCTACACATTTAAATGTAATGTTTCCAGTTATTTGAAGGACACCATAAGGGATTCTATAAGCGGATTATGTTAAGAAAAAAATTAAAGCTACCTTTTGAATTGTATTTGTGGCTTGTATTTTTTTTAATAACAATTTCTTACGTCCCTGGAAACGATAATATCAATATTATAAACAAAATACCCTGCTTCTTTTCAAAAATACTTCGGTATAATTGATGCGTTTGTGATTTAGTTAATTTTATATAAAAAATCATATCATTAATGAAATAAATCATTAATATGTCATTTGTATGTGGACAGTTTTCACAGATCACGGCAGAGGATACGTACGGAAAGCCCTGAGAGAAATCCGTGGAAATTCGCTTAAGGAAAATAAGTACTTGCGCATTTTGCTTAAAAATCCATAACGTTTTTGTTTTGGGGAATAGAGACATAGCGTAGCGCCGTTCGAGGGGACGTTGCCATGGAAATTTGCATGCATCCAATAAACGGTGATGCTGCGAAGAATTTACTCATCCTTTGAAAAATAAGCCCCTCAGGTCAGGGACCGGACCGGCGGTAATAGGAAACCTTTGTTGTTCTATTTATAGTTTTCCGATTCTCGGCATAATCCCAAAATATAATGTTTATTTAAATATTCTATTCAAAACGCGAAAATGAAAACCACGACTTCACAACTGTGTATCTAACAATATTTTTTCGAAATCTGTTTCGAAATATTTTGCCGATAAAGGGAGAAAGGGAATATTTTGACATGACAAATAATTTTTTAAATGATATAATGATTTTTATTCTACTGACAAGACAAGGCAAATAAAAGTGAAATGAAAAATGCGTTAACATGTTGCAATCAATCAAATTATATCCGGCTCGAAGGACCAAATATTCTCTCCGTAGAAATACAATACTCAAAAATCGTTACTCATAAATTGAATTATAGGTATTTGTTCTTTCTCCACAGTACCAAACTGAACTTATTGTCTGTTTAAAAGGTTAATTATACTTGCAGCGGTACGCTACAAATACATTTAGTACCTTCCCCAATAAATATATTTTGCTTTCCGGGAATTTACGAGCCATATAAATTATACTTTGAATTATCCGAGATTATCCCAAATAAATGTATTTAGCAAATGAGATTAGAATAAGTAGGCTGTAAACATAAATTAGTTGTTGTTTATTAGGGTACATAAGCACAAACCGAGTAGGTAATGATCCGGATAAGCGTTAATTAGGATAGAGTAATAAAAGTAGGTACCTGGGGATAAGGATAAAAACCGAAAACATTTCGAGGCACGAACCAGAAGTCTCGAAGCCTAGTCCCTGCTCGGTTATGTCTCGTGTTACCAGCGAAATTAGTAGAATAAAGTTTTCCATGCTACTTACAGTTTTTCTCCTCACTTGAAGACCAAACCACTATATATTAATATATTTAATTTTTTTTTTAGGTATCGTCAATCAACAGGGTACTCCGCAATCTAGCCGCTCAAAAGGAACAGGCCTCTACGCCACCAGTGTCGACAGGAAACGACAGTGTCTACGACAAGTTGCGGCTTCTCAACGGTAATCAGACCAGTTGGAGGCCGACGCCTTGGTACTCACCTGGAAACACTTCCTTCCCTTTGCAACCTCTGAGCCCGCCACCTACGATCCTTTCTGACGATCTGAACAACAAGAAAGGTGAGTGAAAATTCTAAATGTTTGTATTTTTTTTGCTAGTAATTTAGTGTTTATATTCGAAACATCGGAGAAAGTCATTAGTTTGCTTCAGAGGACTTTACTGCGGCATTTTCAGTCTTTTTTCATTAGAAAATTTAAAATAGAACCACTGTGATGTCCCGCCTTGCCCACTTATCCATTTTTATTTACAAAAATTGGAAACATTAGCGAAAACCATCAGTTGGCGTCAGGATCTATCTCGAGGCGTCTCTCGCTCTTTATTTATTAGAAACCTCTGAATAAAAAACCCGCACAGCTTTCCTATTCCCCGCACGCCCCGCGCTCGCGGCAAAAAATCAACCGGGACGCTCTCCTCGCTATGTATGTATTCCGGTTCCGCAAAAACGTCCATAAAATAAGACGTATCGGAAGTGCGATAGGCGTCGCGCTGCGGCAACGCCGTGCCGCGCCGGTTTTGACGCCCGAGAATCAAAGTGTCAACAAACTAACGACAAACGACATTAGAAGCGGATCCAGAAACGACTATGCCTCAGCCGGGGGGCATCCAATCGATACCCTTCCGGAGACAATCACATGTCAGCGGTGACGTCAGGGGCTGTTCTTCGGGAGATCGGGGAACGAAAATCAACTCTCTTTCCGAGCGAGATCTGGCGACGGAACTTTTGGTCTTCGGGTATTTTGGTCGCGGTAAATTACGATTGTGGTTTCCCCCGCTTGATTTTACATAGAAGCCAATTTAAAGCTTTCTTTAAATTAGATAAAGTGACTAATATTGCTTAGAAGAATAATTCTAACTATGGAAAAAAAATTGGAAAATGGTTGAATAAAATCCGTCAGGAGTTGTTATTCTAGAATTATTTTTGCCTAGCTAAAACATTGACACTGAAAATATGCATAAATGAAAGACAAAACAGGCATCATTGTAAGGTGACGTTTCCAAATTAAATCGCTTTCGTCTTAAAAACATCATAGTCACATATAAATTAAGTGTATACATGTAATTATATTTAATTTAATTTTGTATAAAGTTACAGAAAAAGGGAAGCATTTTATAAACTTAAACAAATAATTCTCTTTTCATTGTCAGTTTTTTCGTTAAAATATTCCACAAAAAAACAACCGTTGCATGATTTTTTTTTGAGTTTATTTTAAGCCAACGTATTTGCGAATACATGTTTAACAACTAATATATCCAATTTATCCGGGTCCAAAATAGTAGGCAATGACCCATTCTCACATAAGGATAATGCAATTCCATAGGAGTATCATTTTAAGGGGGTTCCAAAAATTAATAAACAGAACAGTAAATAGATATGTACATTTCGATAAAAACTAAGTTATCCTTACAATATAAAAATTAGAATGTGTAACACTTGTTAATATTTTCAATCCATCCATACATTTTTTCATAAACTAATTGGTACTCAGATCTGCAAGTCATGAACTGTGGGACTGATTTTGATAATAAAATTTATTAAATTAGAATTTACAATTACCAAAGAGAATCAAAACCTATGTTCTGACCCAAACTAATAATATTTTGGCATCCAGGACTACATATACAAGCGTTTACTGATATTTACAGAACTTAGTTGAAAACAAAATATAACTACGAACGTATTCACAAATTCAGTCACAAATGGAATGAAGTTGTTCTGTAACAACCACAACGTAGTTTATGAAGGGAGACAGTAAATATGAAAAAATAAATTTTCGTTGAATGTCCCAGGGAAGAAACCAAATCACTATTTTATATTTATTTCTCAGACTACATAAACGTCTGTCTTGAAGAACCACTTTACCTCGTCTTACCTGCTGTCAACTAACAGTCGACATGGCTAGCCGCCCTCTCTTAACCCCATCGTTCACAGTCGCACTCTTAGCACAAGCGTGTATTTTATTTGGGACAAGTTCGGATGATTTTATTATTGTTAATGGCAGAGAGATAGTTTAAATCAAATATAAAATCACAAGCCTTTTGTATTGAACATTAATGTATCGTTTGTTTAATACAAAATTGAATAGTTTTGGTTAAATGATTGTAAATACTTATTTTAAGAATATATTTGGATATAAATATTTCTCAGTAATAAAAAAAAATATTACAACAGCTAGGATCGTTCGTAAGTTTAACCAACCAGACAGGTCGGTTTGGGACTTATTGATGGTCCTCATCATTATGTCGTTAGAACGATCCAGCTGCTTAAGTGTCGTTACACAAGGAGATGTGTATACACAGAGCGTAAGTAGCTCCATCTATCGTGCTACTTCCCACTTACGCCACTCTGTGACCTGCTACAATTTTCTTTCAAGAAAACATAAGTTTGATTATAATATGCTACAGTTGTCTTGAATAATTACATACTACACTAATACTAAAGTGTTCAGAAAATAATCGAACTTAATTTTTTTAAACTTTATCACGAAAATTAAATGAAACATCAACAATCCAAGAACTGTGGTTACAGAGGAAGTTATGTGCAACGACGTGCTGCCAACCGCATATCTCCATTAGCGCATAATTCAAAAAGTTCTGCTATTTTGTGAACAAATCTCGTATGCGTTGTAATTATAAATTTGAAGTGATTTTCTGTCCAGTGTCGGTTACGGTTAAAAAATCGCCCAGTACGTGCCCGATGCCTCGAAATCTCCTCGCGTTATCTCCGGATCTATTGATTCAAACACATTATAATTATTTAGGCTATCGGCGCGGCGCTGCAAACGGCTAGGCATTCACGGAATTTATTCACTCAAGGGAACTGATTATACTCCTTTCTGTCCAATTTACAGCGGGGCAGAACACCGCAAAATTCCGCAAATTTAATATCTGCCCTTTGATTCAACTTTACTCGACCTCGCCCGTTATCTCTCCGAAATTCACTTTCGGCGCTATTTCCTCATTAATTCAATAATAATATTCGTTTAATATTCACCGCGCGGTACGCGAGCCGCCCGGATACAGCACATACCGCAGCCGTCCCGTATCGGACTAAATCGATGGGAAAAAATCACCGCTGTATGAAATTTTGTGTATACTGGGCGTTAAATATATCCCTTTAACTCTAATTTCACTAAGGATTTAACCAGCAGTACATAACCTAATTTTTTAAATAAACGGTGTCCAAAAATTCGCACTAGAAGTAATTTTTATAGAAAACACAGTTTCTTAATAAAAAATTGTAAATTTTGTATTGGTTCAAGAAGTATACAGTGTATGGTTATGTTTGGAATAGCACATCGGGCAAATGCCCTCCAAATGGCACAAACGCACTCTTGTCGAAATTTTCCATGATTGTTTTGCATAAATGCGGCTGGATTTCGTCCTTCAAGGGGTGGGTGGGTGGTCTTGGACTTGTTGGCATAAACCCTCCACCTAAAAAAACCTCAAAGAAAAAAGTCCAACAGCGTTAAATCGGATGTAGGTACTGGCAGGCCAATTCTGATCACCAAACTGGGAAATTACACGACCAGGAAATGATTCAATTGTTTCTCGGGCTGTATGGCATGTGGCATCGTCTGACGTCTACATTCATATTTTGCAATTTAGGCAGAAAAAAACTGGATTATCATGTCGCGATAGCGAGCACTATTAACTTTTATTGCATGATTTTTACCTGTTAACGTAAAATAGTTTTGCTGCATTTTTTATGTCCTATTCAAATTTAAATTTTTAATAATCTTAATTGATGCCAGCAAGCAAAGTAGGATCATAAATGATCGTTATGGTATGTAGTACTATAGATCGTACCCAGTTTATACATATAAATTGTGCGCCGTATTACATTACATCTCTGGTAAAATCGTCAATATCCTTTAATTTTGTTTTTTTCCGTTTCTTCTTTGTACCGTGATTAATAATTCTTTAATTACGCGATAAATTGTCGTTTTTGATATCTTGGTTAATTCGCTAATCCGTTTCCTAATTTCTTTATCACATTGTTCACTATTTTCTCTTTTCAAACATATTTAAAATAATACGTTGGCTTAGTACGTGTCGTGTAAACCTTTGTTTTTAAACTCTGAGTTTGTTTCGACGCTCTAGACAAAAACCGGCTCGACTATTTAGGGATTTTCCCGGGTTATTTCTCCGGAAAGCCATGCTAAATTACTAGATAATTACATATAATATTTATTTTAATAACTATTACCCTTTACTGGTTGCGATATGAACAAATATTAATATTAACTAATAATTAATAATAACAATAAATATACTACGCCAAGCACTGCTCTCTACGGCACTGACAAAGCCAAGTGAACTGCGTTTCACACCAAACTAACTATAGAATACCATGCAAAAAATTATTTACGACCTAGTGGACCAATACAGGTTTGCTTTGACGACTAGCGCGCCGCCGTCGATTCTACATCAGGCGGACTGGTCTACCAACACCGGACTCGCCCAATGACTATTCGAGTATAAATTACGAGACACATCATGGCTAAAGCATAGGAAAGAGAAATGTAGACGGTCCTCCTGTGCTATAAGATTCACAGGTTCCAATTGACATCGTAACAACTATACAACTATAATCGCATATACCGAACACCGCAACCCAAAATACCTCGAAGTCTTGAAAAAATTGTATTTTATGAAAATTTTAAGGATCACAAATTATATTTAATTCTACGGTGTACTGTATATAACCTAACATTTTAAATACAGGGACAAGGGTCGGAGTATTTTTGTAATTTTATGCCTTAGAGATGCTTCTCGGTGTATTTTATTTCCCGAATATCAGCGATACGAATACCTTTACGTCCCGCATTTAAATAAATGATGAAAATCTAATGTAGCGTACGGCGCGCAGCCACCAAGCCATGAAAATATCAAATTTTCCCGTCATTGTATCCACCGGCGCAGAAACAATTATGAACACAAAGTAAAAATTACAGAGGCAATTAAAAAATAGCTAGAAATTAAATGCGAACAATAATCAGTCGGAAAATGGCATCTCACAAAGCATAACTCCGTTTAGCCGAACAAATAGAATGAAATT